AGTATCGGTAAGAGTAGTAATACCGTTAAAACCTTAACGATACCCGTCCCTAACTGTAAGTCACTTCGGATAAAAAGATTTAAAAGCTTTTTAATGTTAATTGTTGAACACCTTTCTTCTTAAATTCTTCTATCAGATTACTTCTTTCCTCTGAATATCTATTACACTTAATGAGTACATGTTCCACTGTTTCTTTAATACCACATCAATCACACAATCCTGTATAGTAGGATTTATACAGTAGGGTGTTTTCCTATTATATGCATTGTTGAATTAAGACCCGTATGTCCAAGTCTTAATCTAGAAATAATACAGTCTTCTTTCCTTCTTCCACTTTAATTCCTTCCTCTTCCTACCAATGGTTGTATTAAATGTAGATGCCTTCCCTTTTGTTCATTATCCCAATAAGATTGCCAGTTTTTATTTATCGCCATTTTTATTATTGATTTGAGTTCTGCTTTGCTATACATTATTTCCATATCTATATTTTCCTTTGCCATAACTTGTTTTGCTAATTTGTCTGCACCGACGGCACACTAAGTGCAAACACTAAATTCATAGCTCCGGAGCACTATTCGATGCTTAGTGTATCCCATCATGCATCCATCATGTTTTGGAATCAATCGTGAGACTTTTTGCCGAGACCTCTCGAGAGGTCACGAAACCTTTCCAATGTAAGTTAAATATTAATAGGCCCTACAATAATTAGATATTACAATTAGGTAGAAAAAACAAAGTGTTGAACGTTTTATTGTTGCATTTATTTTGTACAACATTTGCAACTGATTTTTATGACTTAATTAGAAGCACCACAAATTAAATTGTGTCATGTTATAGGTACTATTGAACAGACAGAAGTTGATTTTAAAATGCAATGTATTTAAAATAAAAATTAAGCTATGTAAACACTTGCATTTTTACAACACTACTGTATAAGTGTGTCCCATCAGGTAATGAAATGTTTTACACACACTTGTGGTCTTCGTCCTCACTTGAACACTTGGGCCAAATACAGGAAATACGTCATATAAGCAGTCAAGTGGTCGAGTGCAAAGACCGCAAGTGTGGATATTTGGACAAGGCATGAATCCGCATTGCCAGCCCAGCCCCTAATCTCTATTTAGACAGACCAGATGTAACCCTTACCTTACTTTAATACAGCAGCCAAATGAGTAATATAATGTGATGATGAGATACTTTTATATTCCTTGCTAACTAATTAGCAAATATGCATATTTTGATTGAACATAATAATAAGAATAAGAATAATAAGAATCACTTTACATTTAATTGTAATTCGAACACACTTCTCTACAAACTTATCTGCCTTATTTTGAGAGATGAAGACATCTATTCATATCTTGACAGAAGAGAGAACAGACAGAAACTGGTTCTAACCAGGAAAGATACTTCAAAGGCCAGCTGCATTAAAAGGTTTAGAATAGTCTTACAAGTTAATCTATTTTTTTCTTTAACACTGGTCATTTTCTTTCTTTTTCTTTTTTTTTTTTTTAATTTGGTTACATAAAAACATAGTTTAGTCTGAGCTTAATCAAAAAAATAAGACTAATTACCCCTTGGATAACTGTTAGTTGGTCAGACAAGACACTTAGCATAGAGGCTAATTTATGCAACTGGCCCCAGAGTCTATTTTCTGGAAATAGCCTAGCTGACAGATTTAGTGAATAACACAAACACCAGCATTATCTACATTAGTAAAGAGAAGAGCTGTTGGCCCTTTAAAAAGAAATAGCCACATCTGACACTGTGAATAAGAATAAAGTAAGGATTTCCCTTTGTAGAACTGAGAAAATAAATAAATAAATAAACATAAGGCCCTGTTATTTCTGCATGTAAAGGATCTTTTATTATCAGATATTTAGAAAAAATGATTGGGTAACACTTTACAATAAGGTTAACATCAGTTAACAATATGAGCTAGCAATGAAAAAGAAAGCATTTATTACTCTTAGTTCATGGTAATTTCATTATTTAGTAATACATTATTAAAATCAAACGTTTAATCTGTAAATATGATTTAATGATCCTGAGCCAACACGAACTAACAATGAACAGTAGTATTTTTCTTAACTAACGTTAACAAAGATTTATAAATATTGTAACAGATGTAGGCCCTATTGCTAATTGTTTGTTTGATTGTAACTGTAGAATTGTATTTACTGTATTTTTTGACGAATGTAATGCAAATAATGTAAATAAATGTTTTTAAAAATTATAGTGATTTCAATTATCTTATCTTATCTTATTTTATCTTATGTTATCTTATCTTATCTTTCCTTAGACTGTAAGTAGTGGACAATCTTAAATGGTCACTATTACAAATATTTTTCACAGTAAACATGATTTTTCACACGTTCTGTTTATTATTATTATTATTATTGTTATATAGCATATATAATATAGCAATTTAAATTAGAATATTTACTATTGTTATTATTGGCGGAACGCATTTATCACCGCTGTTACCAGTAGACAGTAGCGCCCCCGATCTTTTTTACTATGGAATGGAACACAATGTTTCATAACCGCGTGATATACATCTGTCTGAGCAAATATACAAGGTTTCTCACAACTTATTTATTAAGTTTATTTTGCAGTGGGCTGTTCTGTAATCTAAGAAAGTATGGACTAGATTGCATGACATCACGGCTCCATATAAAGAGCAGACCACCTGATGTATTAAAAAAGGAGGGGAAACCAAGAGAAACGTCGCATCCCTGACGGTTCCTCTGGATTGAAGATGGCGGTCCCAACTCAAAGCAGCCGGACTGGATCCGTTACCAGTCTGGGAAACAGTCCAACCACAACACCGGGCGGCTTAAACAACACCCACAAGCTGTGGTGCTGTCATGAGCTTGATTTTAGGTCCGGAATGAAGATCGAAGAGCTCAACCGACTCATCCATGAATTCAGTAAACAAGACCAACGAGAGTATGATGACCAGAGGGCACTGGAAATACACACCGCCAAGGATTTTATCTTCTCCATGCTCGGTAGCATTTAAAACTCTTAAGATATTTTTTTAAATAATCATTATTATTATTCATTAGGCTATTCACCTATGTTTCACGATTCATCCATTATCATCCAGTTTTATTACGTAGAAAATGGTAGAATCTGTTTAGAATTACAGACAGTCAGAAATGGACAGATATATGCACTAATAGCTACTATATTTTATTTTACCCGTAATTCTGTATCTGAGGTTTTAGATATAGAATATAAAATAGATTTATGTACTAATCTGGGTTATAAATAGGCCTGTCACGATAACAACTTTTTGTTGTGCGATATATTGCCAGAGAAATAATTGCGATAAGCCATATTATTGTCATTTTAAAGACCATTTTATGCCACTGAATATATAATCATAATGTAACAGCATAATAATGCAAGAAGACTGTACAAACTTTAAATTTTTAAGAATATGTAGATAATGGAAATTAAGTATCAAAATATTAGATACCTTAAAAAACTTGAATAAATAGTAAATAAACATTTTCTAACAAAAAGTGCAAAGTAACAAGCAGAAAAAAGAAAAATGCACAAATAACTTGTATGGAGATTTTTCCATCTACAGATTTTTCCCTGACCTTTTCTCTGTAAATTAAGGGTGCACACTATTGCTGAAAAACACAATTCCTGCACCCTTAAGTGTGCATTAAGGGTGCACACTATTGCTGAAAAACACAATTGAACTAGCACCTCATGACTACACCACATTATGTACGAGAAGCTGCAAAAGACACAGGCGCAAGTGGAATGTAAAAAACATGGTGACATTAATTTTTAAGTAAATATAATGGGCGATATATTGTGTCATCAAAAATTATTGAGGTAATGTACATATATTGCGCGATAAGTCGATATATTGATTATTGCGACAGGCCTAGTTATAAAATAATTATTGCATGCTTAAGGTAAGTAGTTACAATCCCAGGTGTGTGCTTTGTGCTTTAGCCAACATCTCAGTATTTTACATTATCCAAACTCTTAAACTGGTTTGTTTAATCTCTTGTGGAATAATAATTCTGCCGTAGTTGGGTGAATGAATGCATGCATGACAGGATCAGAATGATTATGTCCACGTTGGATCCCCCAAACCACTAAATAAAAAAGTGAAGGTTGTAAAGAACAATTGTTTACCGGCCGCAAAAAAAAAAAAAAATCATCAGGACCATGGACAGAGCAGACATAGGTGCATAAAAACTGTTAATGATCTAGTCCTGCAGACATACTGAGGTTAATTTAAATTAATAAATACATTAATTAATTAATTAAAAAGTGAATGACTTGAGATCAGTTAGTATTTAAACATGGTAAAAAATGTATCACTAATAATTAGAAAAATGACTAATTACAGTACATCTGGCTGTAATATCAATAACTTTTATTTCTAGACCGTAATTCCTTTCTTAGTATCGAACCCCTCTTTTGGTTCATAGTATATGTGTGTTTAGGTCTATTTGTTATTAGGCATTACATTTTTTTTCACTGATTGTCTAAACATATTTTTCTGACACCGGGTGGTCTAAGACAGATTTAGTATTGGGACTGTTTTCAGCAGAAAATCAATAGGACTGTCCAGAGCTAGGTTTTTATTTCCAAACTAGGCGGAAGTGGGTGTAAGGCAGCATTCAGGCAATTGTGGGAACCTCATATCCATTGAGGCAGAAGTAATGTACAGCTCTCTCTTTCTTTCTGTTCTCACACTTTCATTCACTGCCATTCACCAAAGGCTCAGTTCAGATAGCAGGAGGCTGACTGGCCTAAAGTGTCTGTGTATGCAAATGAGACAGATGGAACAAAAGTGACACTGAATATCTTTGAGAGTTGTAGAATAGTCTAGTCTAGATTTAAAGAATGACGGGGTGGAGGGGTGTGGGAACAGCATAAAAAGATTCAACTTGAAAAGTACTAATCCTGATCTTTATATATACAGTATATATATATAGGCTATATTTAAAAAAAAGTTTACTAACTAACTAACCAGTTTTAAGAACCACTGACATGTTTACTAACCAACATCTCCACTAATATATATATGTGTGTGTATACATGTGTGTGTGTAATATATATATATATATATATACACACACACACATTTATAAAAATTTCTGCTGTTGACCCCCGTTCTGCACATTTTGTATGTTTCTCTTATTGCTTCAGAGGTTTGTTCCATTTGACCGTAAGTGCCCTGCGAAGTGGACATCACAGGATATTCCGCCATAATTCCAGTTCAAAGAACATTAAAGTGTGTGAGATGTGACTACTATTCAAATTTCATGATTACAGTTAAATAACCCTTCACACTTCTGTAGTAAGGTTGGTCTGTGTGTGAAGATGCTGCAGGTAGTGGTGTTCTTAAGTGCAGTAAACTTCAGCCGATTTCCCGTGTGCAGGGAGTAGAGAGCAGTGAACACTATGTAGGGACCATGTCAATTGGAACAAAGTTCATTCAAGGAGCTCTCTTCTAACAAGCTGGTGATTTGAATCAGGTAAACATAAAGAGAAACATACAAAATATGCAGAGCGAGTGGTCGCGAGGAGCAGGATTAAGAACTGCTGAGTGTAAATGCTTAAATTATATTATTTTCTTCCAGTTGTTTATTAAATTGTTTACTTATACTGCCATGAAGTAGTTAGAATTATTAGAATAGTTTCGAATCATTTGATAATTTTATATATGGAAAGCAAAGAAATTTAAAGCATTATTTAAAAAAAATCATTATTTCTTTAATTTTATTTGTAAAAAAAAAAAAAAAAAAGAAAAGAAAGTAATTGCCCCCACAGTCTGGAAACTATTAAAACAATCATATTTCTGTAAAATGAATGCAGTGTTCCTGTTCCAGTATAAGAACGACATAGTTAAAGTGAAACATGAAGGTAACAGTGTGGTCATATATTGGTTATCGCATATATTATGTTATATACAAGATACAATTATTTAGGAGAATGTCTGACCATCTGTGTGAGAGCTGAAGTTTAAATGAATGATCCAATGATCCAAAACACCAAATCAAGTAAAAATATTAATGGCTGAAAAAAGTCAAAATTAGGACTTTATTAAGGATCCTATTAAGATGGTGTTGGAGGACCTGAAAGAGCAATTTATGCTTCTATGATCAAGTGAGCTTGACACTCATCAGTAGCCTATGTGAAAATGTTTTTTGAAAAAAGTGCAGTCCTACTTTTTTTTAGTGGAAGCTGGCATAAGAAGTGTTGAAGAGAGATTAAAAATATACATTAAGTGGCAAAAGAAGGCAAAGAACTTTACCATAGTAAGTGATTCCAAGGTCACTGAGTCAATCTGTCTCATTCAGGGAAGAGCTATAAATATTTGAATGCATCCCATTCCTCAAAGGGGACAGATAAATCTCAGCTTGGAGTGGGCTTGGATGCTGAAGAACATTAAACTGCCGGCTGCATCTATACTCAGTAACTGATTGTATGTCTCCATCTGTGCTCTAAAAGCCAGTATAGACACACAATAGAATATAAACAACTCTAAAGAGCGTCACATTCCTCCGTTATTGATCTGCCGCTTTTTTCAAGTGCTGGTGTTGAATTTCAGGTCCTCTTATTGATCCACTGGAAATAGATGCCAAAGGAGAGTGCTCTGCTGTCTGCAGTTAAGTGGAAGAACTTTGGTCACATGACAGGAAGTGTGCAGTAGCACAGTGGTTCGAAAAATTGGTGGCGCAGCATTATCTTATAATGTTTGGTTAGACTTTTAGCAACTTTAGAATAATTCAATTAGAATCGTAATGCAATTTTATTCAGTTTGAAAAATGTGTAAACAACAAACTGCAATATATGCAAGCAACAAGCAAACTGATAATTTACAGTAGAGAAACCATTAGTTAATGCATTTCATATGTGTGTACATTTATATACAGTATATATATATATATATATATTATTATCTTTCAAAGTTAAAATTAATTGAAAATAAATATTTTAATTTTTGTACAATTATCAGCTGTAAGAATATTTGTTTCAGTGCACCAGACTTTCTTTGCACAGTCTGACTTTTGTTGAAGCCTGGAATTAAACCACATCATGTTGGTTCATCTGGCCAGAGCAGAACTGGCCCCCCAACTGGACCTGGTTTTTCTCCATTCTGTCACTGACGGACTTAGGGTTCCTTACCACTGTCACCTTTGACTTGCTTAGTTGGGGACACTTAATTTTTAGCAATATTATCAACTTTATTCCACAGAAACTATTTGAAGAGAACTAAACTGAGCTGGACTATGATGTCACTGAATCAATGATAAACTGACTTTAACTGAAAAATTGACTGTTTACTATTGTCCTCTTTTTAGAGCTGCTCTACAGCAGGATTTTATTTCCACTATTGACACTATTTTCCTGTTTAACACTGTTATGCTGCTTTGATATAATCTGTATTGTATAAAGTGCTATATAAATAAAGGTGACTGAACTTGACTCTGTTTTGTCTCTGTTTCAGGCATGGTGCAAAAGCTGGACCAAAAACTGCCTGTCGCAAATGAGTACTTGTTGTTGTCTGGTGGTGTGCGAGAAGGTGTGGTGGACATGGATCTCAATGAGCTTGGCATCTACAACCGTGGCTCCAACTATGACTTGGCCTTCACCCTGTTGGTTCCTGCACTTAAATTGCACGACTGGAACCAGCCTGTAACGCTGGACATGCGCCACTCAGCACTTGGTCACTCTTGGCTCAGCTTGCGACTTTTTGACGATGGTACCATTAAACGTTGGCGGGACTGCTGCACGCTTACTGATCATCTGAATGGCACCACCAACTACTTCTTCTCACCTACACTGGTAGCCAACTGGTTCCAAGAAGCTGTTGGACTAGTACTGGCAGAGTTACAGCGCAAGCCACAAAGGGGCTCCCCGAGGGTGGAGCAAGTTGAGCGTCACAACACGCTGCTCACTATAGTTTTAGGTGTGGGCAGCAGCCGCATGCTTTATGACATTGTTCCTGTGGTGTCTTTTAAAGGCTGGCCGGCAGTTGCTCAAAGCTGGTTGATGGAGAACCACTTCTGGGATGGCAAAATCACAGAGGAGGAGGTTATCAGCGGTTTCTATCTGCTGCCTGCCTGCTCAGCCTCTGGTTGCAGAAAGAACGAGTGGCGTCTCTCTTTTGCCCGCAGCGAGGTTCAATTGAAAAAGTGTATCTCACCAGGCCTCATGCAAGCTTACCAGGTGTGCAAGGCAATAGTTATTAAGTTACTAGCCCAACCTACGTCTATCAGTCCCTATTACTTACGTTGCATTATGTTGTGGGCTTGTGACCGACTACCTGCAAGCTATTTGACACAGGAAGACTATGTTGCGCATTTCCTGCTAGGTCTCATAGATGACCTGCAGCACTGCCTTGTCAACAAGACCTGCCCTAACTATTTCATCCCACAGTGTAACATGTTGGAGCACCTGTGTGATGAGACCACTATGTTTCACGCTCGTAAGCTAGCGCTGGTACGCTCGGATCCAGCCGAGCACCTGCGATCCATTGTTGAGCTGGCCAAGGCAGCCAACAGACTGACGCAGGAGATGCAGCGTCGTGGGAGTTCCTCAGGACTGCTCTCTCCGCTTGCGAATCCCTCCTCGGCTGATCACCAGCAGTCAGATGACCGGCTGGCCAAGAAGCTACAGCAGTTAGTGACCGAGAATCCAGGGAAGTCTATCTCTGTGTTCATCAACCCTGATGACGTCACACGACCTCACTTTCGTATTGATGACAAGTTCTTCTGAAAACAATGGTCTATTTTCACTTCTCCTCTGCTATAATGGTTGAACCTGATGGGAACCTGATGCATGACACTGTCTAGAAACTGGAGCTGTGTCCCTATACCTGTATACATCAGACTGCAGAGGATTTTCTGGGGGAAATGTTCTGCAACAGCTCTATAGGACCTGCCTTACTGAGAGGCAAATCCAAACCACTTGCACCTGCAAAGGGTTAAAGCATAGTGAGTTTCACAGTGACTCTGAGAATAAAAGTCAGGGCAAGTGGGCAATGATTTACATAGCAGAAGAATATATATTATACAACCCTCTACAGGCACCTTGGCAATTGAATCGCCATTGGCTAGTAAATTTTTTTGTTTACTCGCCAGCGGAGAGTGAAACTCTGAAGCGCTCAGTCAGAGTGTTCTGTGAGTGAAAATATATCTGTGCTAATCATATACTCAGCCTCCAACTCACACACTGGCGAGTAAAATCTGAGAATTTATTAGCCATTGGCTAATATTAGACATAATGTAGTCGCTCAGAGTGAAGATTTAGTCGCATATGCGAGTGATTTACTCGCAATGTAGAGGGTTGGTATATGTCCTCCCGTGGTATGTTGATTTGAACAAAAATCTGATGTAATAAATGATAGATTCAGACATTGTTTTTTTTGTGTGTTTTGCATCTGTGCTGACTACACACGTCCGGAACCTGGTTGTGTTATATCCATATAATGCTGTTTCTAAACCTGCGCAGTTAACTTGCCTTATTATTTATTTAGAGAAAATTACAGAAGATAATATCAGAGAAAGCCAAACCTTTTCTATATATAAGGGATTGAAATCATATTCCCTTAAGTGCAATTAAAAAAATGTTCAGTCAGAATGAGAGGTTCTTGTATTGACAACAATTGTTGTTATAAGAATGCAGAATCGTTTAAAGGGGTGTGGGGTGCTTGACTTGTAGCCCTAAAACTTTCACTGCTATTGGAGATTAAAAGGATGCTGTTCTGATTTTTGTTTTTTGGAAAATGAATGAATGAAAGTGACAAACAGCTATCCAATATAAGCCCACATATCACCAATGTTAAGGGTGTCTCTAACAAAATACACAGTAGGACAGAGGAACTAGATACTGCTCTAAGATTTTCAGTTCAATGTTCTATTCTGATATGAGAGGTGCAGAGTAATTTCAAATACAAAGGTCAATTTTAATGACCTCTCAAATACTTTTTTCAGGATCTCTGGGTACATAATACTTTATTAGTACATGTCAGCATTAAATAACATGAAAACGGGTTACAGTGGATGTTGTCTATTTGTGTTGTAGATGAAATCATTTATTATCAGGAACTGGGGTGTTGTGGTTATGTGGAAAGGTGCAGGCTAGGATATTATGTCACAGAATACGCTGACTCAGTGTGTCTGTGGAGTCCACAGAGAATGTGGCAGTATCCTGTGGTGATAAATGCGAGGCAAAACTATCTTGTTAGGTTTTGGTACTTAACACACTCTTGCATGTAGGACTAATTTCTTTTTCATCTCAAGCCTTTGATGCTAATTCCAAAATGTCATTTTAGAGCTAGTAACAAGAGGCTTTGGCAATTGATAATGCAGTTATAAATAGAGTCTAATTCAGTTATTGGAGAGAGAGATTAACTGTAGCTTTGTGAAGCTTGTAAAACTAGCTGAGTCTGTGTGACTGTGTTCAGCATCAGCATCTCTGCTATTAGCAAAACTGTAACTTTAACTGTTTCAAGAACAGTGACTTTACCAAATAACTAGAGAGTTGCTACTGAGAGATGTCATGTAGCTTTCAGATGTGAAACTGTTTTATTAGTAAATCAACAGGGCAGCACTGGCAACAAATTTCTGTGTGCGTGTATGTTTCTGTGTTTGTCTGTATTGTATGTGTGTGTATGCTTGTATAAGGGAGAGAGCTGGAGAACAAAAGCGCACGTTTCATCAATAATAAAACAATTCTGTGGGATAAAAATTCGTCATTTTCATCCTGTTGTGCTTAGGTTATTTTGCTGTTGTAGGCTGTAAGGACCTTTGAAATAACTGAAATAATTTGGCAAAGTGATATGGAAACTGCCTGGAACTATTTTAGCTGTGCATTTGCTGAAGAATAATTACACACCTTAGCAAGTTTGTCAACCAATCTGAGTGAACCATTGTAAATATAGGAATACTGAACATGCAGTGGAAATAATCTTTGATAACCTAGTATCCATTATTTTCTCCATAATCTTAATATCTCCATAATAACAATTTCTCCATAATCAGTTCTTACAAATCTCCAGAAGTTTGTCTGTTCTCTTATTATTTAGCAAAAAAGCAAAGTTCATTTTTGCCTTATTACTTGTCTATTTTCCATTGAACTTGGCACTAAATTCACCGAAGATGAATGCAGGGAGCAACAACTTTAGCCTCCAAAAACCAGACTGATTTAAAAATGAAAGATAGTTTTGCCTCGCATTTATCACCACAGGATACTGCCACATTCTCTGCACTGTACTGTGCTCGTTTCATTCTGCTGTTCGCAGATACAGTGGACTCCACAGACACACTGAGTCAGCGTATTCTGTGACATAATATCCTAGCCTGCACCTTTCCACATAACAACAACACCCCAGTTTCTGATAATAAATGATTTAATCTACAACACAAATAGACAACATCCACTGTAACCCGTTTTCATGTTATTTAATGCTGACATGTACTAATAAAGTATTATGTACCCAGAGATCCTGAAAAAAGTCTTTGAGAGGTCATTAAAATTGACCTTTGTAGGCCTATTTGAAATGACTCTGCTGCACCTCTCATATCAGAATAGAACATTGAACTGAAAATCTTAGAGCAGTATCTAGTTCTTTTTTTTAACAGCAGATGTAACATAAGCTGTTATTCCCGTCCCTGTACACTGCTGATGCTGCCATTCTTCATGTTTTGATCAATGAGGCTATTACAGTATTGTGCAGGGTTGTCTGCCATTCTGAATTGATCTGAGAAAGTCTTTTGAATTAAATTTCTGAAGTTGAACTGAAGTTGAAAATAGGATGTAGAGTTGTAATTTGAATGTAAGGACGTAAAATGGAAGGAATCCATGGATTCAATTGTCAATATTTCTTTATGTCTGGGTATTTGGGGTGGTTATCTATTGATATCAGTTGTATTATGTTACAGTACAAATACGCATTAGCCAAATTTACAGGAAACAAATTTTGTGGCCAAAATTGAGTTATGTGATTGAGCTGAATACAAATGCCATCTCAACAACCAACACATGAATTGCCAATTCATAAATTCTGAACTCTGAATATCTTACTTACAGAGTTTAGATATTCAGAGTCTGAATATCTTACTTATTCTTATGCTTGGTTATGCCAGTCATACAAGGGAAATATTACCAGAAGTATTGATTGTGCTGTAGCATGTGCAGTGATTATTTAGAAGTCTTCTCTCAAACCACACAAGCAAAGACTCTTCAGCACCACAATAAGTAAACTTATCCGTCGAAAGCAATTTAATACTACCGCCCCCCCCC